AATGCATAATAATGAAACGCATTTATTAATACGCAGTGTCCCCTAGAGTCATGTGACAATGAAATGGATGGCTGCTTCCCCTTCGGTGTGATGCTATAGGAGCAGGAGTCGCGGGACGAGCTGGTGAACAGGTGAATGTGTAGCATGGGTGAGCGGAGGGGAGATAGGGCCTGACGCTGCTGTGATGTGGTATCATCGCACGGTCACGGCTCACTCGCTCCGGCGTTTGTAGACGAGAGAGAGAGAGAGACTGGTTAAGAGCTACAGGTGTGGATGTGCTCAAGGGAAGTACGATTATTGAAGGGGAGACTACATACGTAAGGATTTCAATTCAATTCAGTTAATTTATGGACATTTATCAACACTTATGGACATTAAGTCATCTGTCATCTGTCATTTATGGACCAATACCAACATGTTTTCTGTTTTATTTTTTGAACTGATTGATTCTCTGATCTGTGTTGGCGATTTCAACGGTTGTGTAAGGTCCTCTGAGATCACTACTGTTGGGATTTAGGGCTAAACAAGAATACATTGAATTGCATTGAACATAAGGAGTTCATAGACTTTTCAAAAATATATATTAATCTTTTGTATTTTATATGAAGTAGTTGCAGAGACCAATATTATATATATTTTAACATTCTAAATCTCAATATTGATCTGAAAAAGTTTATCCATTCCTTCCATTTTCTTCCGCTTTGTCTGTTGCCGGGTCGCAGGGGCAGTAGGCTCATCACAAGACGTTGCGATTTTTACGTTCACACACACATCTAGGGGAATCTCAAGGCGTTCCCAGGCCAGCTGAGAGACATAATAAAACCACTTCGATTTGTGGTTCTTTCAGCCATTACCCAAAGCTCATTACTAGGTGAAACATAAAATAAATTATTCAGATTCTACTTTGCCATCGTCAGAACAGAGAGCTGCCACTTGTAGAGGCAGACATGTTTGAGTTTCACCAAAACGCCTCATTGGTCTATTAATGATTAAGAAATAAAAATCAACAAACAAAGCAAGTATAGAGAGCAGTGGGCTAATCTCCCGAGAGAAGTCAGTACAAAAATGATCTTCAAATGCATCTGATTGTAATAATAACTAGGGCTGTCAAAATTATCGCGTTAACGCACGTTAATTAATTGTTTTCATTAATCGCGTAAAAAAAAATTAACGCATTTGACGCATGCCCATGTGTCCCATAATAACACTCAGAATGCCGCGGACACATGCGTGTATCCAAGACCACGCACAGAACTATTCTCTAGTGTGCGTACGTGTCTTTGCGTAACCGATGCACACAATATGTACAGCGCAGAAGCTGGACTGCAGAGCCTCAGTCTCCTCCGTGTCTTCTCCCGAAGCGCACTCGCTAAATTAAAGCTGAGGTACCTAATTTTCCTTTCGACCATCAGTTCATGTTATTTGTGCCAAAAAAAGTAATGGTGTGAGCAAATCAAACAGATTTAATGACATTCTGCATTTCAGACTATTTTGAAATGTCCCTCATCTGTAACAAACAATGGTTTTGGTCTGAGTCTAAACAGAAAGACAGAATGTTAATCATTTTATATGGATTTATTGTTATAACAAACAAATACAGTACATATGTTCACTAAGCTGTCATTTATCTTTCCATTCAAACAACAATTTACAGAAAAATATGGCATAATTTTGACAATAGTTTGAAATGCGATTAATTACGATTAATTAATTTTTATGCTGTAATTAACTCGATTAAAAAATTAATCGTTTGACAACCCTAATAATAACATTTTATAATTTCAGCAGCAACATTTGTCAATTATAACAGCTTCTTCTCTACAGTGCTTCCAACCCTCAGAAGTCCGCCCCAGTCTGACCACAAACATCCGTCCCCAACATCTGAGCATAGGCCAGCAGAATGTTTGGAATGAGCCCAATTTGAGTCACAGAAAAACACAAATAAGTCTTTTTATGTGCTTTCCCACTTGATTTCCTCATGCTGTTAAGGCTGTGTTATTGAGCGCAGGGCTGATGGTCTAATCCTTATTCTTTTCTATTTCTAATGAAAGCAACGATTTGAAAAACAGGGGAGAGGTAAATAGCTATTAAGAAGAAAAACAACTGTATTTGTAGTTGTATAAAATGGTTGGATATTTGGGTCAATGATATACAGTGCCTTGCGAAAGTATTCGGCCCCCTTGAACCTTTCAACATTTCGCCATATTTCAGGCTTCAAACATAAAGATATAAAATTCAATTTTTTTGTCATGAATCAACAACAAGTGGGACACAATCGGGAAGTGGAACAAAATGTGTTGGATAATTTAAACTTTTTTAACAAATAAAAAACTGAAAAGTGGGGCGTGCAATATTATTCGGCCCCTTTACTTTCAGTGCAGCAAACTCACTCCAGAAGTTCAGTGAGGATCTTTGAATGATCCAATATTGTCCTAAATGACTGATGATGATAAATAGAATGCACCTGTGTGTAATCAAGTCTCCGTATAAATGCACCTGCTCTTTGATAGTCTCAGGGTTCTGTTTAAAGCGCAGAGAGAACCATGAAGACAAAGAACACACCAGGCTAGATACTGGTGATACTGTTGGCTAGATACCGAGATACTGTTGTGGAGAAGTTTAAAGCCTGATTTGGATACAAAAAGATTTTACAAGCTTTAAACATCTCAAGGAGCACTGTGCAAACAATTATATTGAAATGGAAGGAGTATCAGACCACTGCAAATCTACCAAGGCCCGGCCGTCCCTCCAAACTTTCATCTCAAACAAGGAGAAGACTGATCAGAGATACAGCCAAGAGGCCCATGATCACTCTGGATGAACTGCAGATAACTACAGCTGAGGTGGGGATGGTGTGTTCAGGGTGATGAGCTGTGTTGCTTTTACGCCAAACATATCGTTTTGCATTGTGGCCAAAAAGTTTGATTTTGGTTTCATCTGACCAGAGCACCTTCTTCCACATGTTTGGTGTGTCTCCCAGGTGGCTTGTGGCAAACTTTATACGAGACTTTTATTGGATATCTTTGAGAAATGGCCACTCTTCCATAAAGGCCAGATTTGTGCAGTGCACGACTGATTGTTGTCCCATGGACAGACTCTCCTCAGACCACCTCAGCTGTAGTTATCTGCAGCAGATCACAGTGGCAAGATTGTTACATTTTTGTCAAATTCCATCATATGTCACAAACAAAAAATAATTGGGAAACAATGGGTTTGCAATAATGTTTGAGAATCAGAATTATTTTTACTGGCAGATTTCTCAAGCATGCATAAAGGACTGCATATACAGTATAACTTTGACTATGTAACATGGTAAGCTCTTAAGTCATTGCATCAGTACTGAGTTTAAAAATCCAGTATCATCCAGACTTAGACTACCCTAAACTTCTGGATCAAAAGTTTGACTCATCAATCCACACTTACAATTTTTAATCACAAAATCGCACCATCACAGGCTGTTTATTTTAACTGTACAAAAGCATTGAATTTATTCCATTTTCAGTGTACACTTTCCGAACCTCTTTTATCCATATTGTATTGTAATGCCAAAGATGCGTGCGGAATACCAGCGGCTTTAAACACATACATTCTTATCTGTTTACTCCGGAGCCAGAAGAAATAATGCGCTGTTTTGAAGCAATGGAATATGTATGGCCCCGCAATATTATTCTGAGAGGGGGAAACTTGCATATGTGATTCCCATCTAAATATTTGGGACAATAAGTGCCCAAATGTTGATGCGCTTGCTTGGCTCAAACTGGGCCGGCGCACACAGGCCATCAGTCATCAGTGTGGCACGGGAGGAGTCCGGTATCTACACACAGCCATCAGGAAATCGGATTAGGAACAGGTAAATGCTTCATTTTTTCTCGCCGCCTGACACTTATCCGCCCAATTCCTGGTCCCGCTGGTCATATTGTTTTATTTACCTCCCCCATGTTCATTTTTCATTCACGCAAAGCTCTGACATGTTGAGCCTTGAGTGACTGGCTGCGGTGAGGGATTCTGCCGACTGCATGTGGCGAGTAGAGAGGAAGTTGGAACAGTGTGTAGGGATTGGAATGAACAGGGAAAGATGTGAACTCAGGGAAAAATGTGATTTGTTCCAATGGACTTTAAACAGCCGTCAAAATCTCGTGTTTGGTGACAATTCAGAGGAAAAACAACAGCAACACAAACACACTCCATGCTCTCAGGGATGATTGCATCTCGAGTACTGACTAGAACAAGGAAGTAGGATCACATTAGTCCTGGTCTCAGGTTTGGCCTCCTGCTGGGACTCTGAGGAGCACAGGGACTGGCCTCCTGCTGGGACTCTGAGGAGCACAGGGACTGGTCTCCTGCTGGGACTCTGAGGAGCACAGGGACTGGTCTCCTGTTGGGACTCTGAGGAGCACAGGGACTGGCCTCCTGCTGGAGTCAGGACTAAACATGAGGAGGCAGCGTTCCAGATTCATGGAGCTATTATATGGAATAGTCTTCCTGAAAATGTGAGACAGGCTTTTACTGTTCAAATCCAAGTTAAAAAGTTATTTGTAGCTGTGCAAACATCTTTAGATGAATGAATGTACTGTGCTTTTCCTTTTTTATGAATGTATTGTTTCTTTTCTTATTTTGTAAATTACAGTTTATGAATTGGGCAAAAAACAAATAAACTTGTCTTGAAGGATAAATATAGCATATATCACTTACAGTATCTCTCACAAACTCCAAAATGTTTCTCAATAATGCTTGAGAACACACAGTGCATTTGCTTCCTCCTATATTCCGTACTGAGGAGTTGTTTAAGACAAGCGAGCCTGGTTCAATTTTAAATGTCACCTTTAGGCTTTTCACTTGAGAAATCTCATTATTCCAGGCCGCTGTTTTCTTATACAGAGCCTTATTTTTCGATCTGCGTGAACATGCCGAGGTCCTGAGGTGAACCCCTAACACCAATTAGTGCATTTCTATGAAGCGATGTAGGTGCCCAGTCAGCAGCTCACTGGCCTGGGCTGGTGATGTCACATGGAGGGGGCTGGCTCTGGGGGCCCGTGTTTGGATGGTTCAACCCGGTGAGGGGATGAAGCAACAGGAAACAAATGCAAATTCACTTTTTTGGGGTAGAGTTGAAAGGTTGTCACGAAGGCTTAATGGTTGTAAAAAGGGGCATCATTGACACAGTGTTTTGGTCTCTTAAGACGGAGTGGCTATGGCTGACGCAAGCTACATTCTACAGTCAATGTAAGCAATGCACCTTTAAGTACTTGATATGAATTATAAGTTTGAATTTGTTCCATGCACTAACACAGTCGATTGAATTAAAAAATAATGTCCTGTAAAAACTTCAAATCAACGCACAAGCAGAAAATACACCAGTCGTCTCCATCACATCCTCCTTCTGACCTGCTTCTTATCACATCCCAGCACCTAACCTTCTCCCCACGTCCTCCCATCTCGCCGTACTCCGGAGCTGCCGTAAACCTGCCAGCCCTGAGTGCCCCGGCCTCCCTGTGCCTGTCGGACGGTCCCTGGCAGCTCCCTCCCTCTCCCCTGATCCCGCGGCCCCGGCTTGATTGGTACAGCCCTGAATCATAAGCTTTAATTGCGCCTGACATTTGGAGCTCCTCTCTGGTATTTAAAGTAGTGTACAGGTGTGGCTCATTACGGCAGGGTAGATTTGGAGGGAAGGAGAAGGGGGTCTTGGGCTCATCTCGGAGCCCGTCAGCGTCACTGGGACACCCCCACCAGGCTGACCTGAGCGCCATCAGTCAGAGCCGGGTTCCTGTGGATGATGAGATGACTTTTATCAGAAGTGCGGTTCTCTTAAAGGCAAAAAGATCAGAGGAGTGTGGGAGAGAGTTGTCAAGTTGGAAGTTTGAAGTGAAGCAAACGGGAGAGATGTAGAGCCAAAGTTGCCAGGGATCATTTGATGGATGCTCAAGTAAAAGCATGTGACAAGTGAGTAATGCTAAGTCAAGTTGCAGGTCACATCTGTGGAGAGTAGTGCTGTATTTACTAACTATTTTAATAATGGATTAGTTGGATAATTTTTCTTTCGATTATTCTATTGTTAGATTCTGAAGGGTCAGTGAATATGGGATTTTATACAGCAAAATAAAGCTGAAGTGATGGCCCGGGAGATGACTTATTACACATTGTCATCTCCAGATTAAAAATACTTTGTAAACAATTTTTTATTTAATTCAGCATTATAGTTTTAGCTGAGTCATAAAACCTCTAAAGTTATAAAAATGACGACTAATCAATCACTACATTAGTTCCACTGTGGGAGCGATAAAGGATCTTGTAATCTTAATTTTAATCTTAAATGGGATTATTTTGATATCTTGTTATATCCCTATGGAGAGGCAAACCCGTTCACAGTAACACAACTTTTGCAACAATTACTAGAACAGAAATGCAAGCTACTGTATGTCAGGACAAAAAAACATCCAACTAGACACAAGCATGTGGATAAAACCAGAATATTTCATAGGTGCACTGTAGATCTGTGAAAATCTACACTGTTTTACTTATTTATTATTATTATGTTCAATTAGGGATTTTATACTTGTTCTTTGATGCTTGAGGTAGATTTTGTTAAGCTATTGTTCACTTCTCTTGTGCTGTATGCTCCTAATGCCTCCTGTTCTATAACTTGTGATGCAACACTGACAAACATAGATTCTACAGAGACTTTCTCACTGTGAGAAGCTGTTAAAAGACATCATTGAAGACCTGTGACTGCACTTTAAAGCTGCATTTTGTTGCATAAATACATTTTGTTTGTCCCAAAATTGTATTAACAAGAACACAGACAAACATGATTAAGATCCAAAACTCTACAGATCATGGTGTCTTCATTATATCAAAAAGGGCAAGGTCAAAACTATTGAAACAACCAAACTGCTTTGAGGGCTAGGTAAATTAGTGACATTAGTGACAATATTAGTGGATTGTATTACTGTTTTGTGGTTCCAAAGTTCAGTACTACTACTACTGTAGCCTGGAGCCCAGACTCTATGCAGGGGCGCGGGAGATTTGAAAAACAAAAGTAGGCCATAGTCCGGTCTCCAGGCTAAGGTACTCCACATTTAAGCCATGTTTAGACTGTCCCTGGACTCTTTGACTGGTACAGCTCTTTATTATTATATCATTTACTTTTAAGCCTAAAAGTCAATTCCATTTTATCTGCATTGATTTCACTTCTCTGCCCTGCTATTCCACACTGTGACATTTCTTTATGCAGTGTCTGGCTGTTGGATGCATTGTGCACTAAAAGTTATATTTCTAGTCTTTATGAAGTTGCTTTTTGAAGACATGTAAAACAGCTCTTATTAATGATAATGCTAATTTTCCACAATTGTCCTCACGGTGCACAGATGGTTTATTAAAATTCTCCTCTGACTGAACTGCAAAACCTATGTGTGATGTGCTGAACACTGTGCACACTACACCGTAATCCCTTTGAATAATGTTAACATGCAGCACTTATCACAGCTGGAGAACTGTCCCTTTTTCAGTAATCAAATTGCAAAAATCTCCCTCCATACTTCTAGCTTGAGCAATTCTCAGAAAAACTTTAAGAAGAACCGGTGCTTCTTTTTTTTCTTTTCTTTTTTTTTTTTAGATTTGACATTTGGAAGAGATAATTAGTCTGTAGAAGTGATGGATTTCTTAAATGGTCTTACCAAATAAAACAGGTGTGTGAAGATGAGTTGCATAAGGAATTTTATACGTAAAATGCTTTTTTTTCTACTGTTTTTTTCGAGTCTGTTTAATCAATGCAAACATACTAAAATACATGGCTAAAAGACTGATTCTAAGTAGTTTTCTTTATACTATGTGTCTATGTCTATGAGCATATTCAATTAATCTTATAATAATAATATTTCTAAAGTTAATATTGCTGTGTTCCAAGGACCTGGAAATGAACCAATCTCATGATGTAACGATTAGCAAATGGACAAACAGCAAGGAATTGTCTATCCATATTTAAGTGCTTTGGAATGCTGCTTTTTGCTCAATTTCAGTTCTACCAAATAATGCAAAAATATCTCTTTTTTGTTTTAACCTGTGTTTTATTCAAATAGCATTTTTTTTTCTATAATAAAGCAGTGACAAAAAGTGGCAATACTGGACTGAAATATGCCTTGTGATGTCAATGATTAAATTGTGACAAAATTAGCAAAAATCCGTTCTATAATGACATCCCGACAGTATGTGTAATCGCAGCCATACTGTAACCATATTGTCCTAATGTGCACTGAGGCCATATAAAACACCCATGCGTGTGCAACCAGGCCTATAGCTGGTGCGGATCCCCCCAGGATTACAATCCTCCTCTCACATGGCTGTGTAATTGCTGACTGTGTGAGCGTAAACAAATTAGAATCCAGTTTTTTTTTTTTTCCTCTTTTAAAGCCGCAAACAGCCGGTGGGCGTCGTGCTTCAACCCTGTTCCAGACCCATCTTTTCTGGGGGCTACGAGTGGCTTGTGTTGGCACCAGGCAAAACAAAAGCATATGTTGATTGTTAGCCGGGGTGTACATAGCATGTCCTGTTCAGTCAAGCTCTGCCCCTCGGTGAAAACTCCCAACTTTACGTCTGCAGGCCATTGTCAGACTTCATTTAGCAGCGGAGGACATGTGGATTCCCATGGACTGAAAAAGGCAGAGCGCAGGAGCAAAGGTCTGTCAGGGACCATCTTTTAGCTGCACTCACTACATGAGGGCTTTATTCCATCAGGTTTACATTTGTCCCCGCTAAAAAGGGTCAGAATTAAACATATCTAAATGCTATAGAACTTATCTTTAATATGTATGACATGCTTTTGTGTCTAATAAACACATGGATTGAGGGTTACCTGTTTAAACACTAAATCTAAAAAATCAAACCGTGACACATCTGAAATTAGAATAGTTTATTCATTATTTATTCTCCAACGATCAAGTAGACGTTGTTCTGACCATCCCCATTGTCTCTCACTCTGGTGGACTGTATTTCACTTGATGTTGTTCATTTTGTCATTTTCAAGATATGTGATACAAAGAGATTCAGCCTTGTATAGGTATTTTAAAACAATGTAAAAATGCAATGTGTTTAACAGTAAATGAGCAGGCAGAAATCATCGAAATCAAGAAATGAGTTTACTGACTTCTGTCCTGATCATTATATATCAATATTGAAAATCATTGAAGTAAGTAAGTAATCTTTATTTATATACCGCCTTTCACAGACCAGAGTCACAGGTTCACAATTGTGGGCATTTGTCTCTCACTCCACACGGGAGCGGGGCACCAGTACAGGAGGCGCATGTCAGACCTATTGTACTAGTTTTTAGTGGTAGGAGAAACCGGAGTACCCGGAGGAAACCTACGCAGACTCGGGGAGAACATGCAAACTCCACTCAGGAAGTGAGTGTCTTGAAAGAGCGGATCAAAGACAATAACATTCATCCCTATGTGAGCAATATTAAAACAAGCACAATAAAAGACAGTTATCAATCAATCTTTTTATTTCTTTGTTGTCCAGCATCATGGCAGCTCATAATACATAAAAAAGCTTCTTTGTACACTCTGTACTTCTATTCTCATTTGAAAACACATAACAAAACAATATAAATAAAAAATATGAGAAGCAATACAAAATCACAACAAAAAAATACAATAAAAATACAAAAAAATAACAAGAAAGTTTTATCACATCGAAAATCTTTTTTGTTAATTATTACTTGTATTATTCCTGTTTTAGTTTGTATCCAAAGAATTTGAAATTATATTCTAATACAGTTCATCCCAGTACCTCTGTTTGGGAAACACTGGTCCAGTGCTGATCTTCATACGTGACAATGGCCGGACGGTCTCAGGTATGTCTTTGAATCAATTTTGTATTTATTTTTTACGTTTACAAAACCATTCCAGGGCCTGGAGATTAGTGGCACATATCCCTTGACATTTCCATGTTTTCCATGACTGTACAAAGAGTTAATCACTCAAATTTGAAATGGTGTGTTGTGTTTGGAAGCAGGGGGCATCGGAGCGTTTACTGTACACCCCCCATCTCCTGTACACTGTGGGTACATTATGGCGCTGACATTTTCCCGGCTGACCTTCTTTACAGGAGATGGGGCTCTGACGGCTCGGGTTCATCTCCTCAGGATTTCTTTGCAGAGACCATCGCGGCCACAAACTGCAAACATGTGACGTACTTTGAGGACACTGAACTGCACCAAGTCCAATGTTTTAGTTAAGTCCATCTTATTTTGTAGAAGTTATCTAAAGTGCTATACGTATGTTCGACTTGTTTTTCTCCTTATTTTATGTCTTGCTACAGTGGCATATCTTGCAGGTGTAAAGTTGGAAAGTTAATGTATTGTCAAAGGTCTATCTAGTTTGCGTTGTGATAATACCCTAATCAAGCTGTTTTTTGGACTTAAGTGTACATTTTAATTGAATTCATATTGATTTACTATATTATCCATTCCACGGAAATCACAAGAGAAGACAAAGCTCTGATCTGCCATTTACAAAGAATGCCATTTACAAAGAATTAATGACAATGTTGGCTGATAATTATATATTTTGGACTTAATTATTTATGCATTTGTCATTATAATCATCTATGCAACAAAGAGTCGACATCAGATCCCACTAGTGAGCAGTGGATTTCTGGTTTACTTGTGCCAAAATGCATGAGGCTTCCAAATCATCTGTGTCAGACATAAAGAAAATTATACAATCAATAAACAACGTAAGAAAATTAGGCTGAATGCAAAATGTCTCAAGATCCACAAATTATCACACATTATAAACAAAAACTTTGACTGGGTGCGTTTTCCATGCGTCACCTTTCACATTTTTTGCCAGATTTTGGTCACAAAGGCGAGCGAGTCTCTCTAAGCTCACATGCAGGCAGCACTTTCAGGCTCCTCCACCTGTAACCATTTAATTGGAGCAGTCAGGGCGGCCGTCTGACTGGGAGACATGAAATTCATTGTCATTATTGTGCCTGTCATTTTGCTGCATTTTGTCCATCCTGGCGCACACCTCCTCTCACTCCACTGAGCGCTGCACCTCCGGGGGGCAGAAGTGAGCGAACGCATGAGTGTGGCCGGGAAAACCAACAGGAGAGGAAGGGGAGGGGGATCTCGTGTAGGCCCCCAGGGAGTTGTGGTGGCGCTCATTTACCACGGCTCAGTCATTCGGCCATTTTGCATTTTTAATTGCTGCTGATAATTATCGTCACCATCATTACCTTCATTAGAATGTCAGGTTATTGCAAACATCTCTCCGCCCCTGCCATTTTCATTCATAAAGTCTGTGCAATTGGCCTCTGGGGAGTGATATAGTAAGATATAGTTTGGTTTAATCATTTTTACTAATTTTACATCTTAGGAGAAAAAATACTTAGATTGCTGACTCTCACGATCCTGTTTCATTTGCAAGAACAAATTCGTATTTGTTCTTGCAAATGTTGATGTGCTAAGCCTAGACTTGCCAAAGTGCTGTACAGACAGAGAGATACAAATAATAATAATAATGATAATAACGTTGGCCAACTCTCCAAAGGGCACTTTCCTACTTATTTGTTTGATATGGACATTCAACTAAAATCAACCAACCAGAACCCTACTTTAAGAATCAAAATATCTACCTTTAACTCAATAATGAAGCAGTGTGTGTGTGTCTATTTATGTGTGTGTGTGTGTGTGTGTGTGTGTGTCCAAGGTGCATAGAGTAAATGGATAATGTCACATGAGGCGTGTCTGGCTGTCAAGAAAAGCACTACAAGTAATTATCTGAAATAGTAATAGTAATGGAAGATAATAACAATTGAAGTTCTGCAGAAGTAAGAGACATCAATTGAATTCCTAAAATAATTTATTAATAAAACACTGTAGTTTTGTTTTAAAAGCACTACATCCTTGACATGATAGATAACGTGTCGACATGTTTGTGCCAATGGGCCTTATGCACAGAGAGGCGTGACGTAATTTCCTGTAAATGTCCTGCTAGTGCTATGGCCTTGTGGCGAGTTGTAGTGAAATAGTTTAGTAACTAGATCGATACATTCAGCTGTGAGACTGATCCAAAAGTGTTGACGTGCTTTGACTATGGCGACTAAGAGAGATAAGGTCACTTTACAAAAGCACAATGACAGCACAACGAAAGAGAACTGGAATTAAACAACCTCAGTTTAATTCCTGTTTGAGAATTATTTAGAAAACTTGTGTAAACATGTGGTGAACTCCATCTCAGCCACAGTCCAACTCAAGCCGATCCTGAAGTTGACTGTCATTATAACTAAAACCCGGAAGTGGTGCGTGCATAGAGCCCACTGGGACCAAAAATCCCTGATATTAGGGTGAATGTAAGTAAAAACAAGTTCAGGTATGTTTTTGATGAAGAACTATGTTTTCATTTTGCAATAAAACCTAGTGTATGTTATTTAAGATTGATGCCAAAATGAGAAATATTATCATCAATCAATCAATCAAATCTTTTTTGTAGAGCACATTTAAAACATCCTAGGCTTGCCAAAGTGTGTTACAGACAGTGAGAACAAAAAAATAATAATAATCATGTCAAAATAATGACAATGGCCAACTCTCTTGCCTACGTATTTGTTTGATATGGACATACAACTAAAATCAACCAATCAGAAGCACTATGTTGTGTAGTTTTCACATATTGGATGGCGGGTGGGATCAACAAAAGCTACAATGGCAGTACTCAAAGCACCACTATCTACTTTCATTCATAAATCCAGCCTTGCACAACCCCAACTGACTAATCCAGGAAATCTTGACATTTACGCAGTACAACTAATGCTCCTGTTCTTTTAGCCAACGCCAATCTTCTGACAGAGAGTTGTGAATCCTGGGGTTAAAGTTCTCCATGAAGGCAGGCGATCACAGAGGATACCCCCCTCCACCGCCCCAACTCCTAGCCACCGGTGCAGAAGTTTGCTAACCATACGCTAATGGCTGCGGCGGTCCTCCTAATACATCATGGCAGGGTGCATAGACTTGTATGTAATTCATTTTAAAATGTGGCCTTTAAAATCTCTTCCTTGTTGCTTTACTTCTGTTAGCTTTATTTATTTATACGGCCGAGTGGGGGAACATAGCTTCCAGCGTGCGGTAGCATTAACTCCGCCGCAGCCCAGAAGCTAGCTTAGCCCCCAGTTGCTCAAACGTGAAGATAAATCGGAGCACAAAGGACTCGGGCTCATTCCAGCAAAGTTAATGTTTCATGTTATTTTACAGTGCAACTAAACATGAAATACTTTAGTCTTTTGTTTACACAAAAGATTTATCCTTTGTGGCAGACAGAATTGAAAATTTAGAATGAAAGAAAGGATGGCAGATCAGACTAAACATAACAATAAAATATAGTTAAGGTTGTTATCGTTCTGATTTGAATAAGTATCTTGTCTAATTGTTCCTATAGATTGCATATTTATCACTTCAATGTTCAAACTGGTAAAGGCCTGGGGCAAAATAAAAAAAACTGTTTCTAGTCGGGGCCGAAAGAATAGAAGGGATTTCCTTTTCATACAATTGTTTTTCTAAAAACAAAATGTGATTATTGTTTATATTGAAGTACAATTGGGGCAACTATAACGTTTTTTATATTTAACTTTTTAACTTCTAATGATGTGTTGGGTTAAAATTTAAGAATAAATTAAATTTAGTTTTTCTTCCCTTGAAAATAGATCATGTATAACATGTTTTGGTAACCTCAAAGCTGCACATTATTAACCATAATTGAAAATCATTTAAGGGGCCACAAAAAGTCTTGCGGGCCGGATTTGGCCCACGAGCCAGAGTTTGACATGCCTGGCCTACAGTATAGACCAGGTTCCCCCGGGCTGGGAGCTGATGGAGATGTTTCCACTCCCAATGATCACGTCTTACAACAAGTATTACACACTTCACTCAGCCGTGGACAGCACTCACACTTCTCAGCAAGAAGGTCTTGGGTTCGAATCCCAGTCAGAACAGGGTCTTTCTGAGGGGAGTTTGCATGTTCTCCTCGTGTCTGCTCCGGTTTCCTCCGGGTGCTCCGGTTTCCCCTACCACTAAAAACAAGTACAATAGGTTTGGCATGGTTTCCCTGTGTGGACTGAGAGACAAATTGTAAAGCTCTTTGTGACTCTGGTCTGTGAAAAGCGCTATATAAATAAAGGTTACTTACTGACTCACTCACTTCTTACATATTTTCTCACTGACCTCCCATGGCCAGGAACCAACAGTAGAGGCCAATTCCCTAATATATGACGGGACTGAAAACTTACTGAAATAGTTTTTTGACTGCATTTTTATTTATTTTTTATATTAAGAACTTGGATAATTACAGAAAGCTGAAGTGATTCCATAGGCAGCGCTCAGTCATGGGCTACTTGATTGTATAGTTTCTTTCCGGATAGGCCCATAACTATGTATCATACACTGCAGTGGGGGTGGTAGCTTCCAGCCTACCGTAGCATTAAGTCCGTGCCCAGCAGCTAGCTTAGCCCCCAGTCGCTCAAACGTAAAATAAATCAGGGCACAAAGGACCCAAGCTCATTCCTGCAAAGTAGCAACATTTTCCCCGGCCAACAATGAGGACTTGAACTTCCAACCGCAATAACAAATAGAAAGAAAGTCACCCGAGACACCAACATTAAAAGTGATTAATCATCTGGATTCTCTCTTTACTTTTGAACCGAAGGAATTGTCCGGCCATAAATCTTCAAAGATGTACATAAGAATCAGTTCGTAATGAAACAGGGCCGTTGTTCATTTGTCACCTTTTAGACCCTTTCATTTAAATTACAAAACTGGTGACCCTGTGACTCGGAATATAGATCTCTGGTATTTTAGAGCTGAAGAGGGATTAATCCATAAATCTTGATACTAGATTTCCGTGTCCATTAAAAGGATTCTTGGCCGAGGAGACCGGCCCCTGTCAGGAGCACTTTATTAGACTATTGACATAGGGTACAGTGCTGTCATTTGTTGTCAAGTGCTTGTTTAGGTCAGTAGAAAAGAATGCAATTTTGTAGACACATATTGGGGCTGTGGAAATATGTAATCTATGGGAAAGTTATTCATGCAACACATCTACTCAATGAGCGTGTTTTCTTTATGTAAAAAGGGTGAAAATAAGCTTAACACGTTTTGAACACGCTAAATGTATACCTACAAACAAGATCAGTTTCATTAAATGAAAATGAATACATTGCAGCTATTTGCATACTGTCAGGGCACATTCATCCCTGTATGTGAACGTCGACAAAAGCCCTGCAGGGACATGCTATTGTCTATGGAGAACCCCAGTATATATAGGTCATGTAATTGTGGTCAAGTATTGAATATCTGTTCTTGTGTTTTGACACAGGGTCAAATAATCATGTGTGAGTGTCGATGTCAGTTTGGCAAAACTGTTGTGTGTGTGTTTTGAAATAAACTACATTTTGAAATGCTACCTATATTGAAGTTCAAGTTGGTGGAGTCTTCATCAAATCAAATCATTTTAATTTTACATACTGTGGCTATACAGTTTGAAGTGGGAGAATCGAAGACATTCCATTCTGTGTCCTGTTGTGACTTGAATCTTTGACAAAATGGAAATCTTCAAACTAGCTAAATACTTTGAAAAAAACAGAAGACAGACAACAGAAAACAGAAGATTCCTCACAGGGCTACACCAAATGTGATGGACCTTCCACCAGAAGAATGAATGTTTACCAGTGTGAAATGTAGCGTTCTAAATCCTATCCAGTCCAGAAGGACTAATGTCTCATAAGGGGAGTAAAGGCAGGGTAAGAACAGAGGGAGGGGCGCAGGGCCAAAGCCAGCGTCCGCAGCGAACGGTCGGCCGGCTCGCTGGCTGCAAGTGCGGCTGGTCGTGGCGCTGATGCAAAGTGACAGGGACAGACGTGACAGATCGGTTCAGACACACTTCCATACCACCAGTCACAGGCCGGGGGTGAATCACGTCCCCCTGCCCGCTCCTGTCCCCCGCTGCAGGACAACACGCCGATGCTCCAGTGAACCTCGCTGTGGCCCGCACCGCTGCAGGTATGGGGCTGCCACAGCGCATTACACTGAAGACGCCACCTCCCAATCGGGTACAGGGCCACCGGAGAGGGGCTGGAGGAGGGCGCGGGGGGAGGGGGGCAGACAGGTATAAGCATGCGTGCAGGACGGTCACCGGTTTTAGAATGCTGGGTCACTGGGAGGGAAACATGTTTTAGCATGTGATTTTGAATGTGATATGGCTTGATGAAACACCTGTGTCATGGGTTAGCAATACGACAGATGTGCAGAGATCGGTAAAAATAAAGTACAGTTCTCATTTTAGTCAGGGGGCTGAACACATTTCTGTTGAATTTCATTAATTTCATTGTGAAAAGTGTGTTTAAAGCTCATCTTTTTTATCAGATTACTTTTATGTACTGTACTTCTGTGGTGTTTGAGCGCAAGAAGACAACACATTTTGTACATAAGTAGACTGCAGTTGAATTCAAGCTGCAGGATTTTATTTTATAAGGTATATGTAACCGAAATAGCAGGAGAAGCTCTGCGGGCGCTAACATTTAATTTGTGAGGCTCACTCAAATTTTAGTATTTCGCCCTGAAGGAAGCCAGCCTAGCCCTAAACTTTACCTTGACCCCAAACCTAAACTTCGTGACTTTAAGTTACAAATAGCAACAAAATGTGAATATTTTCATCTGCTGGAGATTAAATACCAAGATTTTTCTAAGACCTGGAGCATGCTGTTTACCTTAGCTGTTAGCGGGTTTGATTCACAGTAAGCAAGTAAGCAACTATTGGCATACATATGACATTTTTAATTTGTAAAAACATCTCCTCCTTGAACATATATTTCAGTATTCCTTTCTGTTTTTAGAACAAGATTAAACTGTTATGTTTGCATTGAACAGAGACAATGTTTTATTTTATTTTCTGATAACTTGGAGACATTCCCAAAGCAACAAACCCCAAAAAATAAATATATGCATGCATTTTAGCAGCTCTGGGTTTCCTCGTGAACATTCATTAGATAAACTCAGTGGTCATTCAATCCTATGATCCTTATGCCAGGTGTACGAATGACACTTAAAATACTACCCAAGACCATGGTATGCTGTAGTAGTTCATTGCAAATCTCAATATGGATATGCATATCTCTTTACCTCTCTAGTGAGGTAAAAAGTGCAGTGAAAATCCAGTATCCAGTGAAAGACCAATAGCCTCATACTGTATATAGTCACACGTGTATTTCAATACTATTCCATTCTGGTACATACGAGTTGTTCCGTGATGGAAATTTACAATGACAAAAAGCAATGTGTGAGAACTTTAGGTTGCTTTTACTACCAACCACGTGAACTGTGATACCAAAGGATCTCTAGATACTGCCAAAGCATCCTCATGGTACTGATGAACTGACATGTACATATTGCGGAGTACTTTATTCATAGTGGCTAATTTCTCTTTCCTATCCAAAAATATAGCATAAAAACATCCTCAGTGCATAGTTCACTTGTAGCACTTCGTAAAAAGGACAGGGGGATGGAGAAAGTCTGCCGGGAGCTCCACAGGGAGGTGAACTTGGGCACATCCAACAAAAAGCTACTTCCAAACATCCTTTCTCTGTCTGTGTGGCCCTCACAACAGGGGCCCTCCCTGCTCCCTCACTCACCGCTAGTTTGCTCATACTTATTGCACATCTAATGCAGGGGCTTTTAATATTTCATAAGCGTTTTATGGTGTAGAGCGCCGCGCTTCAGATCTTGCAGGGAGGAACATAAGACGGAATTAGCGTTCTCCAAATGGCCTTACTTACCTTTTAAATGTCATGCATAGGCCCCAGCTTTGGAAGAAGACAGCAGTTAAGGGCTGGGAAGATGGTATTCAGAAACATTTCATGAATAACCAAGATTTGGAGGATCCCAACACATGACCACCCCCTGATGTTTTAAAATATGGACGTGGCGCTCATGGAGGAGGTAGCGCGCTTTAATAACTCAAGAGGAGGGCTTCACGGAGAGAGCGGGCCAAGGCGCAGAAGCATAATAGACGGCGTTTTGTCACTTTCTTTCTTTCTCGCCAAATTCTCTTGTACACTGTCAGTTTTTCATCTCTATTAGCGGCGGCTGTACCTTGCTCGCTCTTCCTGTCATTTATCTTGTCGTTGCCATTCTGCTGGTATCTCCTGATATGTGCCTTATTATATACTGTCAACATCAGAATCGCATTAACAAACGTCGCGGCCCCCCTTTTCCATGAGCATTTCAAAAGAGTCCCCTTCCGTTAGCGACACCGCGCAACCGGGACTGACACAAAGAGTCGAAGGGGAAATTAGGTATGTCTGTTTCCTATTAATTACAATCCGGGGGAGTCTCCCATGGACACAGTCAAGCCACTCTATTACGGCGATGGGGAGGTGGGGTTGGGTGAAGTGGGGTAGGGGGTATCGCCTGATAAATTAATAATCCTTCTTGTCACCAGCCGCAGATGAATAGCCCCTAGTGATTGATGCTGTTTTCTTTCATAGGGCAGGAATTTGATGTCAGAGCCAAATGTGTTATCAATGCCACGGGACCTTTTACGGGGAGCCTTGTGGAAAATGGATGATCAGAGGAAAGGACGACATCTGTCTGCGTGGAGAAGGGGGGTGGATAGGTAAGAGTGCAGTGGGACCCTCTGTCACTGTCCCGTACCTGTCGGCATCACCTGCTCCTTAGCGCCGGGCCCTAATCACTTCATTAGCGCCAGCAGTGGTAGTCCTCTACACTAGTGCACTGGACACTCAATGTTGTTATCAGGCTCTTTCTGCGCAAGAGGCGAGCACAGGGCCGCAGTTTCCTTGCATTGTTTTAGTGTTGTGGTTTTAGCGTTAGGGTAGTGACAACCTCAGGCATGTTACATATAAGTATGCTTTTTACTTTGAGCGATGTCCTTGAGGAGTTTATTATGTGTTGATGTTGGACAAGGCTAAGCTAAATGAAAAAGAAAAAAAAAAAACAGAGACTAATGTTCACGTTCTGCTGAATTTCTTCAATTTTGGATTAAGAGTCACAATCATATTAAGGTTAGGAACCGTTCATTTTGATTCATGTTAAGATTATATGATGGTGTGATCTATTGTGGTCATTAAGATAATATACATTGAAACAACAAAGTCGCACATACAAAGATAGGATGAGGGTTAAGGTAGGTTAATCTTGGTTTATGAAGATTCTTTTGTTGATAGTGAGGTGCACTTAGCAGCAAAGTGTGCATCTTTGTGCAGCCTGCGACATATACACTGCTGCAAGAAACAGGATTATAGGAACCTCAGGAAGTTTCCAGTCTTTCCCTGAATCTCATCCAAACACACTAAAGTAAAGCTGGGGAGACAAACTTTTCCCTTCTACTAATAGTGCATGTTGGTTGTGTCCAAAAGAAAAACAGTCAGTCTTCATCTTATCCATCCATCCATCCCTTTTCTTAACCTAATCCATTTCTGGGTCAGTGGGTGCAATCAGCACACAGCGCACCAGCCCCTCACTGATCCTCCTGCAGGTGGTGAGTTCACAGGAGCCTATTATTATTCAGCAGGGGCTTCAGGCAAAGTGGGGTTAAGTGTCTTGCCCAAGGACACAACGACAGCAGTCATCAGTGGGAGTCGTGAAGTAGGTCTTATGGTGGGCTCGAATCCACGACCCTTCAGGCTCTAAGGCCAATGCTCTACCAACTGAGCCACTGTTGCCCCACTAGTCTGCTTTTGAGTATGTTAAAGGTACTCAAAAGCAACATATTAACCTTATTGGAAATAAAACTATGAGTGGGCAAATGTTGCACTTCCTGTGAATGGTGTCTATATTTCTATCAATCTACTGTTGAGTTGGCTTTCAATCCTTTGCATGTTCTGTATTGTCACGTGACATCACCAGTCACATCACCAGACAGAATTCCACAGTCCCACTCAGGCGAGACAGTGTAGCATCCTCTTGTGTGGGCTGCATTCTATAGTCGAGAATCTCCTCTCTCTCCAGATAGATATATGTTATTTGTGTTTTGCCTTTTTGCCACAGCCTATCCCAGCACAACCTGGCGTTCTTTCGCTGCCTCTCCCTGTGTTAAATTGAGTCAGTTCGCCGTATGTTTTAAACAGTGCGATCCGCGTAGAATAGAAACCAGCTAAATTAATCTCCAGGACACAATGCTGACAGGAGCCTGATTATGGGGTGTCCCTTGAACCAGGTTGGACCCGCGGGTGCCCTCCCCTCCTCGGCAGAGCAAAGGTTAATGCAGTCGTCTTGTTTGGTCCCCGCCCACTCACAGCACTACACATAAACGTACACACACACACACACCTCAGTGAAAAAGGGAGGGCTGGATATATTCAGAGGAGGAGGCAACAAGTGACGAGGATAAAAGCTTGTCATATATCTCAGATTACAGTCAATTCTTGGACCTATGGATATTTCATCATAGAAAGGATTAAATATAGTGCAGACACTAAAGGCTTATCCATACTGTATGTGTCCAAACATGATATTTACGCATCTTGAAATTTGTGTGACCTTACACACCCTTTGGTGTGGGGCCGCTTTTTCAACCTCAACTCAATGAAAATTCTACTGAACCCCAATTATAACTTTACTTTACCCCATCATTAACATCTATAACATGCCTTTATACTTATCTCTCCAAATTGACCAATTCACTCTATCGACAAAACATATTTTACTGCATCACAATAAATTATTCAATACAGGTTGTAGTAAACACGCATTTCTGTGTAAACAAGCTTTCTTTTGGGTGGTGGTCAAGGGGGAGGCGGAGCATCAACATACAGAAATGCTTTTGACAAATAACATAACTTAATCATACAAGCTGCTATCAATATGTATTGGTATGATTGATAAGATTTGAATTTTATTGGGATAAATACAAAACGTGAAAAATCTAACAACTTTTTTCAGTGACACCAAATAGACAGGGTCATGGCATACTTCATCTCTGTTTCCACACGACATCTCCCATCAGTGGGTCTGTGTGGCGCCTTGGTGTTGGTATCAGCCCCCCGTCGCGTGAGCGTTCCTTGACGCCCGCGGCCACCAGAATGAGTCATCACATGTTTGCTCTGACTCGCGGTGCAACAGCCCTAATTCATAACAGCCATTTACCCTAATAAATACATGTCCGACAACAATCTCAACACACACAGTATCCCCCTTCCCTCTTCCCTCCCAAACCCTAACCCAGCTCTTGGTTCTTGATTTACAAATAGCTGATAGAGCACGCAGCTGACAGAAATAAATGAGCTAATCTGATGGCAGTGTAGGACTTCTACTGGATATTAATTTATCAGGAGGCCGCGCAGTGCTAGACAGATACAAATTCCTGCTTTAATTATGTATGTGGGGGCCGCAGACACCTCCTTGCGCAACATTTCTCCGTCCGACCGCATATAGGCTTCCAGATTCCGGCATTGTTTTCCTTTTCTTCAGACATATAATCCCCATCCGTCCCTGAACGCGATGGATTTTTCCGCCCGTTATGGCGTCTATAGCTTTGATAATAAACAAGTAGAAAAATAACCTTTGCCACATTAAATTATATTGTTTTCGATTTGCAATTTTTATGAGGCCTTCCTGGAGCCGGCTTGATGTATTCGGTCCCCCTCCTAGGAGCCCAAGAGTTATCAAAACCACAACGAATTATTGAATGAGTGACCAGTGGGTATCTAAACAGAATGCAGGGCTATTGATTTTGGTGAAGTGGTCTAATTGTTTTCAGTAGACAAGGGCCTGTCCCGATGATTTGATTGATTAGCTTGATACTGGTCTGCCGCCTCTTTCCTCCTCCCTCGCACCAGTTAATAGCACTGTAATCCCAATACGGCGCTGTATTTCTAATCCATCATCATTACCATGGCTGTACTCAGGGCCAGATTAGTCCGCCAGGGTTTTTGCCCGTTCTTTTTTTAACATTCTACAATATTAGCTCTGCGCGAAGATGGTGAACAAGGAAATACAAAACGGTGCATTTGAGAACCTGTATACAAGGTTTGCCATTGTACTTAAGTGGAAAGTAGGAGTTATGTGACTTTTGTAGTCTTTGCTTCAGAGCTGGCTTGAGCAAATTCTTAGACTCTATTATCCAATCGCTATAGATAACTTTTAACTTTATGTTCTCTTTCATTACATCCATAAATCTCTTTGTTCTTCCTCTAGGCCTGCTGTTTTGTCAGCTCTAACCTCAGCATCCTTATTTACGATCTCTACTGACCTCCAAAATTATCCCTTTTATCTACTTATTCTATTCAGAAAAGTTTGACATATTTTCTCAAAGTCGTTGTCTCTCAACCCTCAGCCTGTGACTAAACATACCACAATAAATGTCATGTGATCTCCAGCACAATTTATGAAAAAAATGGTTCTGATGCTCAACAGATGACACACCAGAGGAAAACCTTCCCTGTGACTGCAACTATCTGGAGCTGTTTTTTTTAAACACATTTTTTGAGCTTTTGGTTCATGCACATTGTGTATTACACACAGATTATGTTCATTTATAATGTATAGAATTCATACATAATCAAACTTTTTTTAATCCAAACTGCACTAGTACAAACCAAAGTATGGCCTTTGCATTATGTGGACCAAACTGTGGGGCAGATCAGTTTGGTGGTCCTGACATGGCCCTAGGGCCATGTGTTTAAAAGGTCTGGCCTAAATAAGCAAATCAGCTTCTATTGTATTGTAGATCTCACACGGACTGTATTTTATCTATTGTGTGTCTGAAATAAGTTAACATAGTTTTAGTTTGCTGAATACAATGGTGTTGTTGTAAAAAGTGAAGTCTGTCTGGAAAGCTATCCAGATAATCTGGTTGTGCTAGAACCAGGGCAGACTGGAGAACAAAATATCTATATTGAAAATAAATAAATTATCCCATGATTTTAAAGAAGAGGGGACATAAATTCATATTCTATATTTTCAAGGAAATTGATAAATGTTGATAAAGCCCTGAGACATATGCTTTGCCTTTGGACCATGTCTTCAAAGAGCTACACCAATCATATTCCATCACAGACAACCACTAGAGGCTGTGTGCTCTCTCCCCTTCAGTTTATCTACATTGTCACTATTGACCTAGACTGGAGACATCAGTCGACACATAGCATGCGCCCCTAAACCCGCTCTGTCATTGAGAACTGTATTGTCACCCATGTGTCACCATCTCTCTCCTCTTCTACCCTCGTGTGGCCCTTGGCTCCGGGCAGCATGGGCCATGGACACAGGGCTGACAAACAGCGTATGTCTGGGCGAGATCCTGGTAAAAGTCCCGTAGACACAAAATGAGCGTCGTCCCCTGGAGAAGATAAGGGGACACAAAACACTTCCTGAGGGCAGACAGTCGGACGTGATGGGGCGAGAAGTGGCGGGGTCCGCATGGTGCTCGTCCTTGCCTGTGGTGGTTATGCCAAGGCCTGGAACTTCACTCATGTGTCTGTGGAAGGCACTGGGGGTGTGAAGGAAGGTCCAACCAGAGGGCTTTGTCACATTGCGTGGAGTTGACACTTCAGAGGACCTCCTAGCCCCATGAGTGGACAGTGTCTCCCTGCTGCACAATAGAGCAAAGTCCGGTTAGAGTCCTTGCCTGGAGCTGGGATGGTGTCCATGCCTTCTCACAGTTCCAGTGGTCATAATGTGTGAAACTGTAGACCGCAATACTTGGAGATCATAGTGTGTGAGCCAATCACAGTGGAATTCATAAAGGCGGAAGAGGGAAACCATTGAACAAAATTGACTAAATAATTGTTTTCCTTTTTGTTCTTCCTCCAGCCTTGCTGTTTGGTTTTATTATTATTGCCTTCAGCTGTACACTCTCACTCCATTTGTGTTGAAAAATAAAAAACAAACAACTCAATACTACTTCAGCTCTCAATCTCAAAATTAAGATCCAACATTCCTGGTGTGATTTTACATTATGATTCTTTCCTTGTGTAACATTGTAAACAAGAAGCAATACTTGCTGCTGTTACCATCAAGATGTTTATTATTATTTTCAAGATTTTATACTTTTTATTGATGCTTGAGTTGGAGATTTTGTTTTATTATGCGTTTTTAGTTGGAGTTTTTATTTATTTAGTATAGCTAAAGTTCACTTAACTTATGCAATGTGCTCCTCTTTCCTACTGTTCTATAAATTGTGATGCAACACTGAAATGTCCCCACTATGGGACGAATAAAGGATCTCTTAATCTTAGTGTTTAAGAGATCGGAGTGAAATTAGCTTCAGAAGTCAATTCACAGATTGTTTGATTCTTTCTTCATCTAATTTTTTCTTGAACCATGTGCGCCTATCCTCTTTTAACCTTCCCTTGAGCGTCTCCCTAGTGTCTCCATGCGTCAAACCCTGCCCACTGCTCCACACTGCTCCTCTGCCTAGTGTCCACTGACTGGGCATTTAAAGAGCCTATTGTGTCATCCCCCTCGCTCATGTGCCCTGTGTCTCTGCTCTGTGGTCAGATCTTTCCACACAGAACGCCAGGCCAGCTCCATTCCCCAAACATGAGTCAGCCCAACAAAGGGGGCATCAGTGCAACTCACTCAGCCCTGACTGGAATTATGCAATGCAGCGTTTCCACTAAATATTACAACTGTTCTGGTTTGCATTCCGGAATGCACTTAATACATGCCAACTCTTTTGCTAATTGCTTGGTTGTTTTAAGCTGTGAGCCTTCGGAACAGAATGCAAAATTGTGCGCCCACTGAAAGGTACACTATGTAATATTTCTGGAGGAGTGCAACAAGTTTGAATGTTCCTCAAGATAGTAATAAAATATTCCATATCTGCCAACCAGTCTGATCCCTGGAGAAATAACCACTTTGAGTTATGATAAGTTTGAACATACTGTGGAACATTCAACACAATTCAATTTATTCTTGTATAGCCCTAAATCGCAACAGTAGTAATCTTGGAGGACTTTAACACAATGAAACAAAAAACAGAGATTGAGAGATCCTTTAAAGTGAACAAAAACTATACTAACTATACATAAACTCTAACTCTAGCATCAGCGAAACAAGTCTAAAATCTCTATCTTTAACATAATAAACAAGTGTAAAATGTATGTATAATGTAATATGGGAGATTGAACTTTTTAACAAGGACTTTTACTGCTTTTATTTTTCGTGTGTTTTGCTGTGTTTTAGTGTTTTTATTGCATGCATTTGAATCAGTTCCTTGGACACTTCCCCTAATTACCCACACCTGCTTTTAACCAAGACTGTCTTAGATTGGGGGCGGGCACTGCAGGAGGAGGACAGAGAGAGACAGTGCAGACGAGAGGAGGAGGACACGGGACCGGGCCAAGGACGAGCACCGCCAGCCAGAGACCACGGGGGATTTAGGCCAGCGGGAGGAGGGGGGGGGGGGGGGGGGGGGGGGCTGGAGGCCAATTGGAGTTGGAAGAGCAACTCTGGTCTTTTATGATCTTTTTTAATGGATTTTTTTGTAAATATTTTATTACATTTTATCCCCTTTTTATCCCCTTCTGCTTTTTATTGATCACACCCCCTCAACAGACACTTTTAAAACCTGTGACATGTACATTTGGCAAAATAAGAGGCAAGTATAAAGTACTGTGTATTCTAGTGCAAGCAGCGTGTAGTTATATGTTAGCATTTGTACATTAACAGCAGTATGTTTACGTCTGTACATGTTAGCAGCAGTATTTTTACATCTGTACATTAACAGCAGTATGTTTACGTCTGTACATGTTAGCAGCAGTATGTCTACACCTGTACATGTTAGCAGCAGTATGTTTACATCAAACAGTTCATACACAAGAAATAAAATAGAAAAAACAATGGTATTGGTCTAAGGGGCAGATGAACAATGTCCACTTGTTTAAAAACAAATTCAATCATTTTATATTCTTAAGTTCTTACAGCAGGAGTATACCAAACTTTCAAACTACAAAAATGGAATGTAATAAAAATCCACCTAACTACAGTAGTTCCTCGCTCTTAAAACAGTTTCGCTTATTACTAGTTTTCACATTCATGTATTTTTGGCCTCTGTCACATCTTTAGATGAGGTAGTTCAGACTGAAAGGTTAAGCAAAAGAGAGAACCCTCCAAATTCAGCCAATCAGCTCAAAGCATCCAAAAGTGACTCACAAGTATGCAAAATACTGTACGTTCTGAACGCATGAACTTTGCATTTAACAAATCCTCTGTAGGTTATTTACCGCCTCGATCTGTGTAATCTACGACAGCCATCAAGATAATCCATTACACCCGCGGCGCCACTGTGCCAGGCTCACCCGGGTTAATTCAGCTCTGGAGACCCTGTTGATAACGCGTACCTTTGACGTTAAACAACTGTAATGCTGCCTGTCCTCATCTGCATGCTTTTACGACGCTCGAGACGCCTTCTGCTCCGCAACCTCATAGGCGGGCTGTCATAAATGTTTAAAAAATGCCCTTTGATAACGAGTTTGTCATTGTTTGATTCAGAAATATCAACTAGCCCATTACAGTGGCAGGTATTTTTCAATCAATACACAATAGAGCATTAATATTTGATTCTTTATATGTCAGGAGCATATGAGGAAAGTGCATTGTTGAGAGGTGGCATCTGGAGGTTGTTTGCTTCCCCTCCGCAGCAGCAATAAAACACAGACATTGATGTGCAATAGTGTGTACGTGTGAGAGTGCGTGTGTGTGTGCGCGTGCGTGTGTGTGAAGTTGTACTAGAGATGTCCGTATGGCTGTCCTCAACTTATGAACTCCAAGGACTCTCTGTGTGTGGAAGTAGTAAATAAACTACAAGATAGACTACCCCTAAACGATTATGCAAATTTGGGACTTAACATTGGGATCTGAGGTGCATGGAAAACGGGAATAGGAGACCGCAGAGGAACTGAGGTCATGTAAAAAGGGAGAAATCCAGAAAGTATTCTAATGATATATAATTATTTAGTGACATGTTATTATGCTGTTAAAATATTTATTATAATCTAGTTATTTTAATCTTATACGATAAGTCAAATCTATGCCTACATTCAAGTACATTATATTAGATTAAATATTTAACTGTCTTGAAAGAAACTTCATTCATATTTGGTCTGAAGAAAGACCTTCTCGTTTCCAGTTTCTTTATCTACAATAATATAGTGTAGATGAGCCAAGTAAGTGCAACGGAAGTATTGACCACCACCACGATCATTTCTGCAACTTTAACCGACTTCTACAACTGGATACTTCACTTTAGTCCAATTGAATTTGATTGAGCAAGACATATGTGAATCGATGTGTGGAAAAAATAATATCCTGTAAACTGGTTACTATGACAAGACCAGCAGATGCATTTAAAAGCAAAGGGGGGAGGAAACAGTCTCGCCGCATGTGTTTCATTGTTTTATTTGGTTTTGTTACATAAAGTTCTTGACCCTCAATTGGGCAACAGGACAGGACTGGAATGGAAGGCAATTTGAACATAAGCAAGCTGGAGCTAACATCCTTATATGGGCATTTATCTGAAAGGATTAGCCTGGCACCACAGCAGGTATTGCTATGATGGTTGATAAGAAAAGCTGGAGTTTCCCCCGTGAATGAAGGCATGTAACTGGTCAATCCTTATGGCTCATTATCTAGATTTACAAAGTCAATATCAAAATAAAAAAACCAGGATCACCACAAAAGGTCGCTGGGCTAGACGAGTTTAATTTTACGTCAATGGGAGCCTGTGCAAGTTGTAGCAAAACTTTGTCAATGAGAACTTCAATGAGCTAGAGAGTTAGCAATATCTTTCTATATACAGTCTATGGTTACTCAATGAAATATTGAACTAATAAAGACAGTCTCTAAGGTCATACTTTTTACAACTCATTTATAAATGTTGTTTAAACCATCAATTAAAGTTCACACACAAGTTAAAGTCAAGCGTGTTCTGCCCTCTCTTCTTCACAAAGTCCATCTCCCCTGACAATAAACACATCCAACTGAACTGAACGTCCACAGAATGTTTCACTTAACTACAACTGTATAACGACCTTAAATGACAACTCCTCTCTCTCCTGCGGTGCGCCCGTGCCGTGAATGAGTTTTAACCCTTTTCCTGATCAGAAAGAGGCGAAGAAAGAATAATCTATAATCCCAATGTTTCTGGAATGTTTAAAAAGGTCAATATGCTGATATTTTTGACAGTGCCTGACCTTTTGTGAAAAAAGTAACAAAACCATTGGAATTGAAATAACTTCTTTGTTTAGTTCTGGCACATAATGTATCACAGTCAAAGCGTGCCTTCTCCCCGTAGCATCGGCGCCATGAGTGACCGGACTGTTAAATCGCCAGTATTGATCTCATATCAAAAGGTGCGATTTAAATGCACAAGAACTCCCAGGGCCAGCGGTGTTTTGGAGTGAGCTTGAATGGGTAATGCGTGTCTTTGTCGGAGGAGGCCGGTGTCCAGGTGGTGTGACATCTGGACACCT